ATATATATCGAGTACTGTATCTTGGTTTTTCTACAGAGATGTTGTATTCCTTTCAGTCTGGTTTGGCCCTGACAGGCAGGGTCGAAGCCGATTTTCTGAATTATCTTATTTGTTTCGATGGGGGTGTAAAAACATCTAACTAAGAGATAAAAATTAAGATAACATTTCACTTTTGTTGAGATATTTTTATTGGGGTTGTGGTGCAATCGGTTTATCATAATTTCCACACAAAAAAATAATAAGATAAAAATGCAAAATACCAAACCAAAAACAGAAACGAAACAAAAACAAATACAAATAAAACCCAACTAAAATTAGTCCAGAAAAGCTCTTATACTTTATTTTTGGAGGTCACGGGGTCAGGGAGGTCATGGGGTCACAAGAGGTTAAGGCATTTCGTATGAGCTAAAGGGGGGGGGATGTCAAAGGAGGTCAGGCGAGGTCATGAGCTACATCAATTATAACTTTGTTGGACCTGAACACGAGAGCAGACGTGAGGGAAGTTTGTGCGAAAAGACTTCCGGTCATCTCAACAAAAATACTGGCTCCTACAGGGACCTTCCGTTGTCTACCGGCACTCAAGACTTTGCCACTGTCTGGTCTGTCTTAGCGGTGGGAGATCTCCTTTTTAAAAGTCTAAGTCGGTGGCCATTTTGAAACAAAAGTGTGTGTGATCGTTGTCAAATTTCCTTTGTTTTGTTAGTCTCAGACAGGAGTTTTTCATGATCTTTCATTGCAACAACTTTTGGCACATTACGGTCGTAAATAAAAGAGACGTTAAGCTAAGAGTAATCTTGTTGTTATTCAATTGAGGACTCAAGATGGATTCTTATTCTGTAGATAAAAATAAATATTTGCTGCTCAGTTCGTCCATCCATCCCCCCCTCCCCCAAAAAAGACAACAAAAAAGATAAACAAACAAACAAATAAAACAAGCACACCAGTAAACAAACTCCGATCAAAACAATTAGTCTGCGTGTCAGAGGAGGCACATTCTGCGGTTACGAATGGGTCGCATTTTCATTTCGCTGAATGAGACCGAGTCGTAAAAGCTGGTAATGTTAGCAAAGACCATGCCCTCAGCTCCCTTTTTATAGTCCCAGAGTCCGTTCAGGTTGACCCAGTGACATCCAAAGTACCACCAGCCTCCGCGATACTTCTGAGCACAGTTTCCAGGTTTCAGAACGTCGTTGTCCCTGCCTTTGGTAGTGAATGCAAAACCGTTGTGTCTGGACAAGTCGTCAGGAGCGTTATCCGAGAATCCGGATATTTTGAGGGTGTAGAGTTCCGCTTCTCCCAGCACTTTGAATTGGTTGTAAATGGCGTGGTAGCTCTTGCCTTTGTAGGAAATGTCCACCCTCAGCTCGTGTCTTTGCTGCGGATTGGAAGGCAACTGGAATGAACTCATTGAGTCCTCGGCTTGTGGTCACTTACTCAACGCTTGAGAACGCGTTGTTTTGCGGGGGTTTAAGAAAAGAAGCATGACTTCGTTATTGATACTCATTTTTCAAGTTTGTTTTGTTTTTCTGAAACTTTGGCAGCAACATGTATAATGTATACATATTTTGATGAAACACATACAAATTCTTGTCTCTGATAATTTGTATGTTACGGTTCAAATGTCAAGGTGTTAAAACGGACTAGGCCCAGAAAGCAGCATTTTTCAGGAGAGAAAAGACTGTTTTATTCTTTAAATAATTGTACATCTTTTCCCTTGCTGTTTTCAACATTTAGGACATAAATTTCCACAAGATATTAGTTGAACACATGTAACCAATACCACAAATTATGAAACTGCAATAAAAATCGTTGTTCACAAGTTTGGCCTTAATATATTGCAAATGCTGGCCGACAATAGCAATATATATTTACATGTATATATATATATAAATATATATATATATATATATATATATATATATATATGTGTGTGTGTGTGTGTGTGTGTGTGTGTGTGTGTGTGTGTGTGTGTGTGTGTGTGTGTGTGTGTGTGTGTGTGTGTGTGTGTGTGTGTGTGTATAGTTTATATATACGAAAGCTAACGGCTGAAAATGGTTCGAGAGAAGTAAAGGAGGTGAAATTAGAACATTTTAGTAAAGAGCATTTTCCCTCGCTGTCAGGTTTCGAACCCGTGATCTTTTGAATAAGAGCTGAACACCGTACCTCTAATCCACGACAGCCTCACGGACAACAGTTAATGCGTCAGTATCCACAGCAACATAGTAGCACATCATCATCATCATCATCATCATCATCATCATCATCATCATCATCATCATCATCATCATCATCATCATCATCATCATCATCATCATCATCATCAAAAAGAACGATAACACTAGCAACAATAACAACAAAATACTAAAACTTCACCAACACTTCCACCATCATCAACATAACTATAACAACAACAACAACAACAAATAATAATAATAATAATAATAATAATAATAATAATAATAATAATAATAATAATAACGACAACAACAACAACAAAGTTAGAAAGCACCTGCACTTTCTACAACAACAACAAAAAACAAACAAAACAAAACAACAACATTAACAACAGCAACAATAACATCAACGACAACATCAACAACAACATCAATAATAACAAGAACAACCACTAGAACAACAGCAACAACATTAACAGCAACATTAAGAGAAGAAGAAGAAGAAGAAGAAGAAGAAGAAGAAGAAGAAGAAGAAGAAGAAGAACAACAACAACAACAACAACAACAACAACAACAACAACAACAGCAGCAGCAGCAGCAGAAACAACAACAACAACAACAACAACAACAACAACAACAGCAGCAGAAATAACAACAACAACAACAACAGCAACAACAATAACAACAACAACAACAACAACAACAACAATAGACATTACCTCTGTGGTTAGCTTGTGCACTTTCTCCAAGCCGAGCCAAAAGTTCCCGGTCAGATCACCAAAGCCGTACTTGTAACTGTCCCAGTCACGGTAAAAATCAACGTCTTCCGACGCTCGCCTCTGTTATCGATGGAGAAAAGATTGTACAATGATTGTAACACGATCGTGAAATGATTGTAAAACTATTAGAAATCTATTGTAAAAAGATTGTAATGTTATTCAAAAGTTATTGTGAGATGATTGTTAAGTCGTTATACGAAAAGACTGTAAAATGATTGTAAAGTTATTGAAAGGTCGTTGTTGCATGAATGTAAAGTTATTCAAGTTATTGTTCCTGTAAACATATTGTAAAATTATCAAAAAGTAATCGTGGAATAATTGTTGAGATGTTATGAAAATATTTTAAAAGAATTATAAAGTTATAGGAAACTTCTTGTAAAATGATTGTAAAGTTGTAGGAGACTCATTGTAATATGACTGTAAAGTTATGAAAAAACTATTGTAAAGTAACAGTAAAGTTATTGGGGAAATGACCGCTTACTGATTGTGAAGTTACTGAAAAATGAGTGCATAATTTTGAAAAATGGTTGTAAAATTACGTAAAATTGTTAGAGAATTATTGTACATTTTTTGTAAATTATTGCAGCACGATTGATCAAAAATTCTAAAGTGATCGTAAAGTTATTTATGGAGACTAGCTGCCCATGTACCTTCAACACAACAACGTAGAGCTTTGGGCTTAGATCATCATTGTCTATTTGTGAGGCATCGTGGGGAAATCGAGAGCTCGTCAAAGTAATGGAATCCAAGAAATCGGGATTTTTTTCTAGCGGTTCGGTAATTTTTGTTAAAAAATTTGTTTTTTGGCTCACATATTTTTATGTCCTTTTAAAAATACATTTCTGTGTGGATTGTACTGAAAAAAAAGTGGATGAAACGCTCAGCATTTATAAATTTTCAGTTTCCAAGGACTCTCAAGCTTTATAAATCACCCAACTTTGGCTGCCATTTGCTCGAGATGTTGACGACTCCCACCTCCGTCAATGACAAATATCTCGAATTCTATTCCAGATGGATGGATCTTTTTTCCCTCGCAATCAAGGCAAATGGACATGCTTTCAGGTGATACCAATAACTCCACATGTCCAAACTTTGACGAGTGCCTGATTCCACCGTTTACTGCCTACTGTATTTTGTAAAACTCCAAACCACGAAAATTCGGCTGTTTCATGCTCTCGGGAGTATTAAATTCTACCGTCGTTTAATTTTTAAGGTAGGAAGTGTTTGTGTTTGTGTGTGTGTGTGTGTGTGTGTGTGTGTGTGTGTGTGTGTGTGTGTGTGTTTCTAAAAGTGACGAGAAGATCCGACCAGCAGAATCTATTATATATTTGGCAACTTGGAGACACATGTGTCACTTATCCAATAAAACTACGACAGCAACAGAGTTGAAAGTTGGCAAGAACCTTTAAAAAGGTAGATGGGTCCCCATGAAGGAGCCCGATTTTTTTATTTATTCATTTCCTGAACTTAGAAAAATATATTTTACAAAAACTTCCCGTCCTTCTTTGGCCTTTGTGATTATTCCACTGATAAACGAAACAAATCTGCTAGCTGTCCTTCTCAGCAAAAGTGCTGGAAGTGGTATTTCGCGAGGCGTATTTTGTTTTGAGAGTATAGATCTAGGCATTCTAATTTTTTGCGTCTCTCAAGATTTGTTGCTCCATTCCAGTAGGTTGTAAATATAGTAGGCCAATTTTTAGGTCAGAAATTATTGGTTCGTATCTGACCATGAATAAACAATTTTATTTTCTCTCTGTCTTCGTTATAACTATTGTGCTATTCAATTGTAAGTATACTTGCGGAATTCACTATCGCAAGAGCCACACCGAACTAAGGCTGATGAACGAAATAAACATCTTTTGTTGTCAGAGACAATCAAGACGGTCATAATAGCAAACGCATAAAATAGTGTGATCCAAAAACAAAAAAACAACAACCCAAAACAACTCAAAAACTATACAACTTGTTATTGTAAATATCTTCCTCCATAGTGAAGTTTTGCATTTCAGATTTGAACATAATATTTGGAAGCAAAAAGTAATTTGTCTGATATTCATTTTAGAAAAGTCCATCGAATGGTTTTGCTCTAAACGGCATAGGAAAAAAAAACCAACCTGTTTTCAACCTTGTCCCCATTTTTATAGCTTGACTCATCAGTTCACATTAGGCCTACAACTAAATGTCGCAACGATCTCGCACATTGCAAGCTACAGCAGTCTAAGAAGCCAACAGAAGTCTGCAGACATTATTTTCCCCAAAGTCCGTTTGCCTGCTGAGATCATGGCTAAGTTTAGTAAAGAGCAGAGAGCTTTTTGTATTGAACATTACCTCTCCACAAACTCACCGTCAACGACATTTGGTAAGATCTGCGCACGGCATGGAAAGAATGCTTTGTACCCTCAAAACCTTTGGTGTCATGAGTTGAGAAGTTCCGTCAGTTTGGATTTATAGCGAATCGGAACAAAAAATTAATTTCCTAAAGAATGACCACTTCAGGTCGAACACGCATCATGCGCAGCCCTCTAAACGTCACCAGGGTGCAGGTTTTAGTAGTCGAGCCCCATGAGACTTCTGTCCGTAGACGATCTGCAGCTAGGACTTACCTACACCTTAACAGTCTGCCTTCTCATGGCAGATCTTAACCTTCGACTGTACCATTTTCACCTTCGCTCGGCCGAGATGACATGGATCACAGCATGGAAATGTGTTCATGATTTCTCGATTGTTTTGAAAAGCGGAGTCATTTCCTCGATGACATTTGTTTTAGTGCAAAGGCCATTTTCACCCTGCCAGATATGTTAACTCTAAAAATGCTGTCTATTAGGCACCCAACTCCCTATTATTTCTGGAAGCCACTTCAAACTGAGTATGTACAGAGTATGTGGCTTTAAGCACTCATGGCTTAGCAGGTCCTTGTATTCGGGCGCCATTGGACATTTCAAACGACACGTTACAATGTGTCGAGTCAAAAGGGGGGCATAATATAGAGCACTTCTTCTGGGAGTTTCAGAATGGAATCGTTAGTTTTTGCAAGCTCTGTAAAAGAAATTAAATATTTTTAAAATGTTACAAGAATAGAAAATTGAATGTCAAAGAGAAAATAAATAAAAACGTCAACCAATCTTTTCATGACTTCCTTTACAAGATTAAAAAAAGAATAGTGAACTTTGCATTTTTGGGGACTTTTTTCTTTAAGCCATTTCAGTTTTCAAAATAAGTTTCTTCTTCGTGGATTTTATGTCAAAAAAGTTCTTTTGAATGAATTATGTCTGTTCCGAATTACAGCATTCTAGATTTTTTTTCTTCGAGATATTCAGAAAAAAGCTGTTCAGTTTTCTTTGATCACCCTGTTAATTAAACATAAGAATGTTTTAGACCATGCGACTACGGTAATGTTGTTGACTCACTGACTGGTAGAAAGTAGGGGACTTTGTGCGAGTACACTAATATTGAGAAATGCCTTTTGATTTAATGTTACAACTTTGATTACAATTATTACATGAAAAAACTAAAACTAAAACAAAACAAACAAACAATCGTTCTCCTATGGCAGATGTGCAATTAGGCAAATAATTTGTCAAACAAACAAACAAACAGTAATTTAAAAAATAAGGAAAGAATTAAAAAGCAAACAAAGCGAGAAGTACAATTAGCAAATAATTTGTCAAGCAAACAAACAGTAAAGAAAAAATAAGAAAAGAATTGCAGAGCAAACAAGGCGAGTTTATCTAAGGTTCTCAATCCCAAATTCCCACTCGTCTTACGGAATCAGACGTTATTCTTTTTAAAAAATCGTTTTGTTTTCTAACAGAAAGTACTCAGGTTATGTGGGTGGTTGGAGGGTGCTCTGATGTGGGTTGCTCCTTCTTTCCTATAAAAAAATATATCGTCCTTATCTCTCCTCCCTCTTTTTGTGTGTTTGTTACTCCATTGTAACACCTCTAATCTTCGGCACTTATATGACCTTATTATGTTGCAAGTGCCGTAAAACTCTTACGAAAAAACTCTAGTTCTGTGTGCGTACCTGAAACACGACCCATCCTCCGCCTAGCTCTGTGGGCGTACCTGAAACACGACCCATCCTCCGCCTAGATCTGTGTGCGTACCTGAAACACGACCCATCCTCCGCCTAGTTCTGTGTGCGTACCTGAAACACGACCCATCCTCCGCCTAGTTATATGTACGTACCTGAAACACGACCCATCCTCCGCCTAGTTCTGTGTACGTACCTGAAACACGACCCCATCCCCCCCTCCCCTAGTTCTGTGTGCGTACCTGAAACACGACCCATCCTCCGCCGTCCGTCTCCGTGTCACACAGCACCTCCAGGCCGTTGTTCAAGATCACCACCTGCCTGGCCTCGCCTCCTTCTACGTCAATGCACATGCGGGGCTGGACACACAAATACATCGCTACATCAGAATTACTAAGTTCTATCTGACATTTTTGACCTTTCTGAGTTTTGCTAAGACCATGAGGCCAGAAACCAAATGTTCTATCTGCTCTATCAAAATCATAAGATTGTTCGGAGTTGTTGTCAAGATATTCAAAGAATTGCATTCGAAAAAGCTTGACATGTTGAGAAACTCAATTTTTTTTTTTTTTTTTTTTGCATCAAAATTTCTAAAAGCTGGGTACTGAGCAGACAGAACTTTGTAATTTTAGGGTGGCGAAATGGAAGAAGTCTGTAAATAAAAGGTTTATCTCCCCCCCCCCCCCCGGGCCATGTTATTGCGCATCGCAAAAGATCAGAGGCAGCTGTTTCCTGTTGTCATAGGTACGACACACTGAAGCAGTAATCCCTCTGTCAGGACTATAACTATAATACATGTACATAGAACTGTGAGAACTCAAGCTAAACAACGGTAGATTCTATACAGAACCAAGGCCTCCGCTTCGCTCTGTTGGCTTTTTGCAAATAATAATAATATAATAATAATAATAATAATAATAATAATAATAATAATAATAATAATAATAATAATAATAATAATAATAATAATAATAATAATAATAATAATAATAATAATAAATAGTAATAATAATAATAATAATAATAATAATAATAATAATAAAAATAATAATAATAATAATAATAATAATAGTAATAATGATAATAATAATAATAATAATAATAATAATAATAATAATAATAATAATAATAATAATAATAATAATAATAATAATAATAATAATAATAATAGCATTTGTATAGCGCATATCTCCGCCCAACAGCAAGCTCTACGCGCTTTACACAATATTATTACCCCTGCAGACCATAGAACACTCAGAAACATTCTTAGCTTCCTAGGAAGCATACAGTGGAAGCAGCTGATTAAGCGCTCAAACACTAACAAACTGACAAGATCTTTCCCTGTCTGTAGCTGGGTACCCATTCCTACTTTGGTGAAGTGATGAAAATTCGTGTAAAGTGCCTTTCCCCAGGACACAACGTCGGGTCCCTGATAGGATTCGAACCGACGACATTACGGTAGCAAGTCTGAGAGCCTTACCACTAGGCCACCGACGCCACGGTCTCATGTGGAGATCCTTCACGCCCAGGCCAAAATCCTATCCCTCCAAACTAGAAGACAAAAACTTTCATTACACTACGCAGTAAAACAAAAACAACCAACAGTTTAACCCCCGATATCTCAGCCTACGATTTTGTTTTTGAAACCCGTCTGGGCATCAGAAATAAGAAATACAAAAACACAAACAAGGACAAGATTAAAAAGCATTTCGACTCCCAGTCCTTGAGGACCTGGACAACATCAAATTTTCAGGAAAAGACAAGGGGCAATTTCTTCTCATGAACTTTTTCAGCAGCACCTCACCAAGTCAAAGATAAATTTAGAGCTGACCACATACAACACACATGCACAGACATAAAAACCTTCAAAGTTGCCCCAAAAAACTCATCCAACCATACTCCGACGCGGAGGAAATCTTCTTTGACGGTTCTAATTCGGACTCAGGTGTAGGTGCCGCTGCCCTATCCACAAACAACCGCAGTATCTATTCGGAGACGGCTCCGACGGATAAAGACCAATCACAATGCTCTGTGCCTCTAGACCAAGTAAAAACATCTGGGGGGGTTACAGGGGGGGGGGGGGGCATGCCCCCCTGTTTTAACACTTAATTTGATATTTTGCAGTTAAGTTTGAAGTTTTCTTGAAAATAATTGATTTGCGAATGTTTTAGTGGCTCTATGTGTGATCTGCAGCAAATAAATAACAGTCTGACCCCCCCCCCCCCCCAAAGCAGTGCATCTGTGTGCAGGAGTGCGTCTCCGAATAGTTCCTGGGTGCCACAAACAACTGCCACAAACAACTGGTCGCCTCAGAACTCTGTTGTCCAAAGTGCCTCTTTACTTCAGTACACTTTGGACAAACTCGTTCTGGGCCTACAAACTCTCAACAGAGGAGCCTCCATCCCGAGACCTCTAGTTTTTTCTACACAGGCCACTGCTGTTGACGTGGACTGGACACTGTAGACACCCCCACCTCCACCCCCACACTCACATCATCCTTTTTAATTCTGTCTGAATGCTTGCTTGTCTAAGTTCAGTTCATTCCCCAATTTCACACATTTACACCCTAAAATAGTAACACTACAGCTTTGGATTCACCTCTTTACTGAACAGGGTAAGAGCATAGAACTTGCTGTTGATCGGTAAATTGTGTTATAAATGATATCTATTATTATCATCATCATCATTTTTATTGCTAGTATTATAATTACTATTGTTGTGATTTTTATTTACTAAAGTCCTGTCTTGTGCGTATGCGTGAGTTCACATAGTAAACGACCAAGACAAATTTCGCCCTGTGAGATGAATATAGATTGTCATTGTCATTGTCTTCTTCTTCTTCTTCTTCTTCTTTTTCTTCTTCTTCTTCTTATCATTATCATTATTATTATTATTATTATTATTATTATTATTATTATTATTATTATTATTATTATTATTATTATTATTATTATTGTTGTTGTTATTATTATTACTATTTCATTTTTAAAAATATTATTATTATTATGTTTGCATGGCTACCTAGCCTTGTAGACATCCGAGGATATGAGCAGGTCGATCTTCTGGCTAAGAAATCTTTGTCTCTCCTGTTGGGATCAACGGAAAACACCCTCCCACGGACATCATCATCATCATCATCATCAATGCCTTTCACCCCTGGCAGGGTATAGGCCACTTACAAGCTCTTTCCATCTATCTCTGTCCTGGGCCATCCTTCCAAGCTCGTTCCAAGTCAGCTTCATCTCTCTCATGTCCCTTTCCACACATCTCTTCCATGTTTCCCGCGCCTACCCCCGCCTCGTGCTCAATGTGGGTTCCACTGCAGTGACTGTCGTGTGATGTTTCCGCTGGGCTTTCTGAGGGTGTTTTCATCCATCGACTCTTTCTTAATCCTATTTCTACATCTATATCCTTTTGTCCTGTCCTTTCCCACAGCTCTTCATTTCTTATTTTACCCTGCCTCTTAATTCTGAGGATACTCCTCATACATCTGTTGATGAAAGTCTGGACTTTATTCAGTACTGTCTTTGGTAGCTTCCTAGGTTCGCAGCCGTAGATATGCACAGACTTGACATTGAATTTAACGAGTCGAATCTTGGTGCGCAGTGAGATGTTGCCTGCTTTCCATACTTTTGATAATTGATTGAATGCTGACCTTGTCTTGGCGATTCTTGCTTTTACGTCTGCCTCAGTTCCACCTTTACCATCGATGAAACTTCCAAGGTAGGTAAAGGAGTCTACTTCTTCCAGGGGAGTGTCTTCCACTGTCACAGCAGGGCTTGAAATTTTTCCTCGCTTCACTACTTTCGACTTGGCCGGATGTATACGTAGGCCAACACTCCTTGATAGCAGTGGCGGAGGGCGGACCAAACTTTGGGTGGGGCTTAGGTTGATTCCACGTCTTTACCACCAAATAGAAAGCAATAACACCAAAACAGTGATGATTTTATTTTTCAATTCTCACGGTGAGCCACGACATTTTGAGAACCGTTCAAACGAGAAGAGTCCCTTCTGTGTCCCTTCTCTTTGTTCAAAGTTAAATTTTTCTGGATGGTGGAGTCGACGAAACCGTTTCACCTCGACTTAAAAATGTTTCGAAATTATTTATAACTGTTAAATCTCAGCGACACAAACACAAACATACATACACACACAGCACTTCAACAGTGGTGGTGGGTAGTGAAGGGCTCACGGGCTTGAGCCCCTTCCCCACCCCCAAGTCTATCCCAAGGCAAATGAAAATAACGAAATAAGCAGTTGAAACTGTTCTGATCGACCGCAATGAACACAGAATGATCAACTAGGCGGCTTGCTCGTTTATCCAATCACTGTTGTCCCCGCTTACAACTATAGTAACCTAACAGCCAATCAAATGTCTTTAGGGCTCAGCAATCAACCAGCCCGTTCCCACGGTCTCTCCTTAATGAAACCCTTCTTGTAAAAAGGTAGAAGACTTGAAAAAAAAAACACTGCACAGAGGGCTCACGCTCTCCCAGACCTGACAATGGGGTGAAAGTTTACGACACACTTTCCCCCAGTGACACAGTTACCTATGCGCCCATTGGGCCTTTGTTAGGCGCGTTCTATTTTCTGCAACAACACGACCCTATCCACCTCATATACGGTGTGTGTTTGGAGTGCTGTGTGTTTGTGACGCTGAGATTTAACAATAATGAAATAAAAACTAATTTGAGAAATGTGGAGGTGAAACGGCTTCGTCCCCACCATCCAGAAGAATTTAACGTAGAACAAAGAGATGGCAGACAAAGGTGACTCTTCTCGTTTGAATGGTTCTCAAAATGCCGTGGCTCGCCGTGTTGTTCTTATTGCTTGCTTTTTGGTGGTAAAGAAGTGGAAGAAACCTAAGCCCCACCCAAATCTAGGTTCACCCACCGCCACAGCACTTCAAACATATTCCGTCTATGAGCAGGATTAGGCCGTGTAGTCGAGGAAAGCAGACAGCACCTAACAAAGGCTCAATGAAAGCGTAGGTATCTGTGTCACTGGGGGAAAGTGTGTCGTAAACATTCACCGCATTGTCAGGGCTAGGAGAGCATGAGCCCTCTGGACAGAGCTGTTGGGCTCCTTGGTCATTATTTTGCATCTGAGCATGTGTAAGAGAGAGCAGTGCAAGGTCATCGGCAAAGCCCAAGTCGTCCAGCTGCTGCCAAGGGGTCCACTGTATTCCATTGCGTTTGCCTCTGGTGGCTTCTTTCATGACTCAGTCAATTGCCAGTATGAAAAGAAACAGTGAGAGCAAGCATCTGTGTTGCACTCCTGTCTGTACCTGTAATAGTTCTGAGAGTTGTCCTTCGTGGAAGACTTGGCTGTTTGTTCCATCATAGGTGGCCTTCAGAAGCTTAACGACTTTGTCAGGTAGGCCTTTTCCATAACGCCCCATGAGTTCCCACAGCACAGAGTTTCCCTGTCCACGCTGTCAAATGCCTTTTCATAGTCAATCAAGTTGACCACAAGTGGTGAATTCCATTCAAGTGATTGCTCAACAATATTGCGCAGAGTAGCGATCTGGTCCACACATGATCGGTTCTCGCGGAATCCTGCCTGGTTTCCTCGGCGCTTCTCATATGTTGCCAATTTGATTCGCTCCAGGAGAATCTTGTTAAAGAATTTCCCAGGTATGGACAGGAGTGTTATGCCTCTGGAGTTGTTACAGTTGCTGGGGTCTCCCTTCTTTGGCAGCTTCATTAGGTACCGTAAAACTCTTACCGAACAAACAAAACACCATCCACCACATTCCAATCCTGCCGTACGCTGACAAAACGCCTGTTTTATATATACAGCAGTTTCGAAGAGGCTTTATGCCATCGTTTTAAAAAAAAAAAGGCGTCCTTCCGAAATTTGAATTGTAGGCCTTATTTATTCAAAACCTAGTCACAATTTCACTTTAATTTTTCACACAAGTAGTGGAACTGATCAGGCTATCGATTTAGCAAGTTAAAATAAAAAATTGTCTCGTTTTGTCAGCTTCGGCTAGGGCAGAGCAGTGAAACCACACACTCACACACACAGCCACAAACTTGTGTAGCCTGGACAACTTACGTAGCTGACGCACGTGGGTTCTTCGCTGTTGTCGTCAGAGCCTGCCTTCTCGACCTTGGTGTCACAGTCTGCACAGTGGAGCAAAGTCTCTATTGATTTAATTATCTACTACTACTACTACTACTACTACTACTACTACTACTACTACTACTACTACTACTGCTGCTGCTGCTGCTGCTGCTGCTGCTGCTGCTGCGGCTACTACTACTACTACTACTATTACCATACTGCTACTACTACTACTACTTCTACTACTATTATTACCGAATTGCTTCTTCCTCTTCTACTACTACTACTACTACTACTACTACTACTACTACTACTACTACTACTACTACTACTACTACTACTACTACTGCTGCTGCTGCTGCTGCTGCTGCTGCTGCTGCTACTGCTGCTGTTACTACTACTACTACTACTACTACTACTACTACTACTACTACTACTACTACTACTACTACTACTACTACTACTACTACTACTACTACTACTACTACTACTGCTGCTGCTGCTGCTGCTGTTGCTGCTGCTGTTGCTGCTCCTGATGATGATGATGATGATGATGATGATGATGATGATGATGATGATGATGATGATGATGATGATGATGATGATGATGATGATGATATCAAACTACATAATCAAATAATATAGAAATACTAATTCATTGGTCTCCTGAAAAAATAGAATTCCTTAAATTGTCAGTGAGGAAAAGACCCGTGTTTCCATGAAGAGGCCCTCGCAGTGGGGGAGAGCATTGTCATGGAGGTACATGGTCGATTGACACTTACTTGTACAGGTGACTACCCCGCTTGCGGCGAAGGCCAGAAAGAGAAGTGGCAGGCACAGGGCGGCTACGGCGGGCTTCATTTTGTTCTGAAAGTGGTTTTTCTTTTTTCTTTTTTGGGAGGAGGGAAAAGGGGGGGGGGGCGGAAACATAAACAATTGCTTATTAGAACAAGCAGCGAACTAGAACAATTGCTTTATATCGAGCACACGGTAACTAGAACAATTGCTTTATAGAACACACATAAATTAAAATAATTATTGCTTTAGAAAGGCTTAGAGAAACTAGAACGATTCTTTTATTGAACACACAGGAATTGGAACAATAATAGTGCGGTCAAAAATTCGTGGCGCGACTTATTGTCAAATATCTCCTCAATTATCGAAAATAAACTCTCCAGCTTTTGCACTGTGACTTGTATTAATTTGTCTTAACAGATCATTACTTTTGTAAAGACCTGTTAGCTCTATTTTACAAAATTCCTTTATAAATTATACTATTTAAAAAATCCCAGGAAGTGGTTTCTAATGATTTTAAAAGATTTACAGCTAGGACGATATCCCTTTTAAAAGCAAGTCCGCCATTTTTTTCTAATCAATGGATTTTTATTGAACACAGGTGTAGAGAACTTTTAGTGCAAAAAAGTGTTCCCAAAAAAATTAATTTCTTGTAACTAATTTTGTCACTAAAAAGTGTCATTGGTGTGCTGTGACGTAAGTCATTTGCGTATACAAAATGTGTGTGAGGAGCGGGAAGTGCTGTGAACAATTCTATTTTCCGCGTGAAGGAGGTTATTAGTATTTTATGTAAATTTAGGAAGAACAGTTTTTTAATCTAGCCTTAATTGTTGTGGAAAAATATGATTAAGTTAAACAAATTGAGACACACTGCTGTGCAAAGTATGGGTGACACTGATTCACCCGTTGAAAAGATATTTGAGGCATGCGCAGTTCGTCCATAGAGCACGATCGGGCAGTGCCGCCCCCCAAAAATTTAATATTTTATTACGTATTGCACACACAAACATAAAATAAAAGAAAGAAGTAACAAGCGCTAGCCAAATATAATATCAAAACAAGGTCCTCGCTGGCGCCGTAATTGTCATTTCCGTGTCTATATCGCCGTAAAACATCTACTATGCCATGCCAAAGTCCACACGCGTTAACTAAAAACAATAGGGTATTCAACAGTGGTAACCTGACCTATAAATCTCTCTTTGGGATAACCCAAGCGATGAGGACACTCATGGCGAGTTTGGCGGAACATAATAAATATAAATAAGCCGGCACATCTCAAATGTGCTCCTGTCGAATGGTGCCGAAACATAGCCCACAGTAGGCAGTCTAAAAATAAACGCAATAGACTGTACGCTATTCAATGCCAAACGTATGTGAGCCTCGGAGCAATCCAGCGGAGTGTTCAAATGAATTATGATTGGTTCATCGTCTTGCTGCTATTTTAAGTGACTCTGTCACTGTGAACCTGAAGGAGGTGAACGTGACATACTTATGTCACCGTCCTATGGGCTGTGCCTTTGAATGGTTTTGTAGTGGAGTGGTGAAAGTTATTACTGGAGTGTTCAGTTCTCATGCAGGATGAACGAATGTGATGTTTCGCTAACAAACAGATTTAGTCCTAGAAATCAAAGCGACTAGTAAAAAGAATTAAAATAAAAGCATAAGGTCCTCCTTCACCAACCCAAAGATCCTGAAATTATACACCATTACACCATCCAATTTACTATGACCTTGACTATCTTCATCCTTAGATAGCTTCATTGTGCACGCCCACTTCTTAGCCCCACAAGCCGCCTCTGATTTGAGGATAAGTTGCGCCCCGAATTTTTTTTTACCGCACTATACTTTATAGAACACTCGGGAACCAGGACATTTTGTTTTATAGAACACTCATAAACTAGAACATTGACGTATTGTTATGGGGAGATTAGCCTTAAAAAGTATAATACTGTCAACATGTTCGTTCCAAGGACAGATGGTTGTCTATAATAATCCCTAAGTGTCTGCATGCCTGGCTGACTCTCTCAGACTTGTCAGTTACCGCCGGTGTGTCTAACGTCGGAACATTTTGGTCCCAATGGCTAAAACAAAAACAAAAAGAAAAAAGAAGAAAAAAAAAAGAAAAGAAAAAAGAATTTCTTTGGTTTTGTTCACATTTACTTTCATAAAGTTGTCCCCACACCATTTTAACGAATAAACTTACTTCCTCAAAATACGCCTTACAATAATAATAATAATAATAATAATAATAATAATAATAATAATAATAATAATAATAATAATAATGGCAATAATAAGAATAAAAATAATAATAATAACAATAACAATAATAATAATAATAACAACAAGAACAAGAACAAGAACAAGAACAACAATAAGAATGATGATGGTGATAAGAAGAAGAAGAAGAAGAAGAAGAAGAAGAAGAAGAAGAAGAAGAAGAAGAAGAAGAAGAAGAAGAAGAAGAAGAAGAAGAAGAAGAAGAAGAAGAAGAAGAAGAAGAAGAAGAAGAAGAAGAAGAATGATAATGATAATGATAATGAACTTACACGGGAACTTACCCTTTGAAAAGTGTGGCTAGTAGAGTGCTCAACTGCATGCGTGAAGAGTCTATATATACTATCGTGTCTTAATAGAACAACGGTGGCGCTGTCGGCAAAAATCTGTTTATCCTCATTGTACGTCGGACCAGCCCACTCACGGGCCTATTGTTTTTTTGTTTGTTTTTTTAGTCTCAACCGAATCGACGGGGTAGGTAAAAATGATTAAGCAATCAAGAGGAAAACTTGTGTGAAATTATTCAGAAATGACGCTGTGATTTATTTATGTGATTGGCATAGTATTGATTCACTGCAACGTCTATTTCTATAATTCAGCATGTGTAGCTTGTTTGTTTGTTTATGAGGCTTTCCTCCATTCTCCGCCCGTGTTTTTTTTTTCCTTTACGATTTCACCTTCTGTCTGCTCTTAAAGTAAAAGAGATTGTATTTTCAACTTTGATTGTTTTCTTCGTACTTGAATCTCCTTTTTTCCTCCCTCAACTTCATAAAAGTAATATTATATCAGGCTATTATTGCTTGGCATAATTAATCGATTCCGGCACGGTGTTGGTAAACATTTATGTGGTTTTGAGAAGTTATGGAAGCAGATGATTAGGTGATGTGAGTGATAGGACTACAATAAGTCTAGCTTTGACATTTAATTTATTGAGAAGTTTCTCTTCAGTTTTATACGACTAATTCTCTTTGCAATTTACGATAACTGAATTGAGAGTTGACGACGTAATTAAATCTCTCGTCGTTTCTTTCTCGGGGTATGGTTTCATTGTGTAGTTTCAATACATGGTTTCCTTATAGGCCAATATTATTCTGTCTATGAAACTCTCTTTTCGGGACTCTTTGATTATCCATCAAAAGAACACCAGTCTCACTCTCTTGCCTAGGTTCAATGTATCAAACGGCACAATCATTACAAGACGATCAGACTAGTATTTAGGTACAATGTATCTGATGGCACAATCATTACAAGACGATCAGATTAGTGTCTAGGTACAATGTATCTAACGGCACAATCATTACAAGACGATCAGATTAGTATTTAGGTACAATGTATCTGATGGCACAATCATTACAAGACGATCAGATTAGTATTTAGGTACAATGTATCGAATGGCACAATCATTACAAGACGATCAGATTAGCATCTAGGTACAATGTATCTGATGGCAAGATGAAGACAAGAAGATCAGATTAGTATTTAGGTACAAAGTATCTGATGGCACAATCATTACATGACGATCAGATTAGTATTTAGGACTAATCTGATCGTCTTGTCTTTATCTCGCCATCAGATACATTGTACCTAGATACTACTGATACCTTGTCAAGATTACCATACTCGGTGGTTATCCTACACTGTCGCATTCCGGCCAGTATGACACTCACACACATACAATTTGCATATTAATATAAAACTTGTATATATATA